TCAGCAAGCTGTGGACAGAAGCTAAGGAATGCCAGGAAAAGTAAGACCAGAAGGAGGAGTGCTACAAAGGTTTCAGGAAGGGAGACAGATTTAAAAAGATAGAGGGAACCTGCAGAATCCCTCAAGCAAGTGACCAGGCATAGGCTAGCAGAGGGGTTTACAGCCCATATGACAGGCTGCTCAGATCAGGGTTGGTGGCTCATGTCTGTTACTTCACCATAAGGGAGCTGAGGCAGGTGAATTTACTATAAATTCAAGGTGAGTCCCCCGCCTCTTAAAAAAGGAACCGTCATCTTGCCTTTGTAGGTACCAGGCACACACATGGTACACAGGCAAACATACATGCAGACAGAACACTCATACACACAAATAACTTTTTTTAAAGAAAGAACAAAGGGGCTGGAGAGATGGTCTCTGGTTAAGAGTACTTGCTGCTCTTGCAGAGGACGTTCAGTTCCCACTACCCATGTCAGGCATCTCATGGCAACCTATAACTCCAGGGGAGCGCAGCTCTTTCTGGACTCTGCACAAGTGTGGCACACACACACACACACACACACACACACACACACACACACGCACACATAAAAAGGGAGGGGGGTGATGGGCGGAATCCACAGCCAAAGCAGTAGCTGTCCAGTTGCCATAGGACTCGCAGATTCACAGAGGTTCTGAGAATATCACTTTACAGAGCTTCAAAATCATCTGTCTGCTAGCTCTACGCTGGCCTCTACCCTACCTCTGCAGCACCATGGACATCCACGTTTCTGACCTCCCCAGAGTCCAATAGCAACAGCCTGGAGGTCTTCAGCAAGCATTTCTGTGAGGTCTGTGATCTGGCCCTAGGGTCCAACCTTCACTGGTTTCACAGATAACTGAGATAAGCTGCTAGCCCCCGGGTAAGGCGGGGCTTCCTATTCTGAACTCAACCTGCTTGAGTCACATTCCAGGCTGGCCACCCGCCCATCCCAACAGCCTGCACCTCAGCTATGGGAAGAAGGGATCCACCTGGAACAAGACTGCACTCCACTGCCTCAGAGCCCCAGCTGTGTCAGAGACTGCCTTTTGTATCCTGAGTAATTGTGCCGTTGTCAAGTGATGCTGTGATTATGTGTGGTGGAGCCCTAATAAAAATATGTTCACACAAAACAGAAAGACCTATAAATCAATAAGGAAAAAAAGCACTTATTAAAAGTGAGCAGCCTGCATGAACAAGCTACCCACCAGAGAAGAAAATCTTCATGTATGTTTAACAGGACCAGCAGTGAAGGGTAGGGCTACCAGGATCACGTCTGGGCTGAAATGACACGGGCCTGAATAGACCTCAGTTTCCTCATCTGAAAAATGGAGATGGATAGCCTGTCTCATGATGAAGAAGACGAGATGGGTTAACTTACAGAAAGCATGCCGCACAGTGGGTGATGAAGTAAGTGCTCAGAAAACTGTAACATTGGAGTAGTGGGTGGATTAGTAACAAAACCATCCCCACATGACCAGACCAGCAGCTGCTGGAAGATCCGGGAATGTCAAGGACTGAGGAATGGGTTTGCCCAGTCCAAGATGTCCCAGCTGCCTACAGTGGGACTCTAGGGACATGTGAACATGCATATATACTGGAATGGTGTGTAGGACCCCTGCTGCCCTTCCTTCAGGGGTTCCTGGTCACAGCAGAGCCCTAGAGAGACAACCTGACATGGCTACACCTGCACTGAAGGAGTCCAAGGGAGGACGCATTGAACAACATGAGGAGTGTTCTAATAAAGGAACACCAACGCTAGTGTGATAGCCTGTCATTGCAGTCCTTGGGAGGCTGAGGCAGGAGGATTACCATGAATCTGAAACCATCCTGGACTATATACTTAAAAAAAAAGATTAACAGAAATAAATAAACTAAAAAAAAACAAGAGTAACAGAAATAAATAAACTAAATAACAGAATAACAGCAATAAATAAATACAAAGGACACTGAAAAATTGAAAGTCGATGGAAATCAAAGACTAAAAGGCATGTATTGGTCCAGGAATGTGCTCTACTCTCTACTCTGACATCCATGGCAGACATTATTAATCAAGCAGACCCTGACCACAGCATCTTCTGAAATTATGTTCCACATAGCCTCTACTAGTAGACTATAGTTGGCAGAAAAAAGAATCTAGGTAGTATCTTTTGTTTATGTCGAGGTGAAAATGTGCTAAGGCCCAGCTCAATTCCTCCACTCACAGTGCGACTGAGGCACCAAGCCCTCTTTCCCTTTCGGAAACTTGCCATCTGTGGGATGGGGTGAGGATTCCAACCTCAGGGTATCACTGTCCAACCACAACCCCAGGAAAGGCTTGGTAGAAGAGGGTACCCCTGCCCTTTCCTTCCCCACCGGGGCGGTAGCCTGGGAGGGGAGTGTCATAGGGGAGGGAAAAGCCTTGGCAAAGCCTTTTGCTGTCCCTCCCTCCTCCCCCCAGCTGCCCTTGGTGACCAGGCAGAGGACCTACACTGAGCTTTCTTTACCCCAGTTCCTGGACATGAGTGTTGGAGCCTCAAACAAGATCTTCCCCCAGGTAAAAGCTACCGGAGCCTGAACTAGGGGTCAGCCTTGGGGTGAAAAGGGCTCTGGGAAGGGGGTACCATTCACCTGCCACATTCATCTGCCCTGGAGATTCACTCCAAGTGAGAGTCAAGAGTGCTAATAGGCAGACGGAAGCCCAGGGGTTTCGGGCATTGTCCGTAGGAGGACCTGCCTGAGTCAATAGAAGAACAAAGGAGGAGCAGGTACTGGGTAGAAGTCACCCACCGCTCAGGTGAAAAGTGTGGAAACATGAAGCAGGCAGGATGAGTCTGGGCTGTGGAGACCCGCGGTTTGCCCAGTCTGCTTCTGGTCTCTTGGGCAGGGGGATGCCGAGATCAACTCTGCTGCTGGAGGGAAAGGCCGCCCTGGAGGAGAAGGTAAGAACAGAGGTGGAAGTCAGGCTGCGTGCTGCAGGTCCGCCCCAGGAACGGCACCCTGTCCCAGTGTAGGTGGTGATGCTGTCTGCCCCCAACCTGCCCAGTCATACAGACAGCCACTTGCTGGATAGAACTGTTCATTCTCTCCAGCTACCAGCATTTTCTGAGTGGGTACTATGTGCCTTTTTCCTTCTAGGCCATCACACTGAGTCTGTAACACCAAGGACCTCCATATCAATTTGATCTGGGTGGCTCTGTTGATCTTAGGATAGAGTAGATTAGCACCACACGTTTTTACCTATTATGGTTCCCCTATTCCTGTGTGGCCAGGACCTTCATGAGATAAGAAAGGAGTACAAACATACGGAATGTCTCACTGGGCCCCATTTTGGCCCTCCATTAAGCAAGGAGGAAAAGGGTAGATGCCAAGAATGACTCTGAAGAAGCTGCCTTGGTTGCCTGGAATCGCAGACCTTGGTTTCAGTACAGCCCTGGTGAGTCAGGTACTAGAGGCAGCTGAAGCTAACAGAGATTAGGTAACTGGGTCAAGCTAATATAGCATTGAAAAGGAGGTGGCTAAGCCTCAGGACCTTCCGTGCTCCATGCTGGTGGCTATTTCCAAGTTGTCATTCGGTGCGGCTGGCAATAGTTGTGACTTTTCTTCCTTTGTTCGAGTGGGTAGCAGCTAAGGAATTTCTGACTTTAAAGTGGGCATCTCTGCCTGTGTAAGAGCTCTGCCTGCCGTTCCAGTCCTGCCTGCAACCCCACCTTGCACACAATGTATACTGCACAAATATTTGAGGAGCAGCCACTTGGCTGGACAGAAGCCTCTCCTGCCCAGTTTAAACACAATCTCCCTGGCGACCCAAGTTTACCCTGTGCTTGTTGACCACAAACTAGGGCTGTAGGATTATAGGTTCTGATGTCCGGTGTGCTTCCTGTCGGCCTGCTGCTGTCTCCTCTACCAGCCCACACCCTCCTGCCTTCATCTTCATTAGCCACCCACCAGCCTCTTCTCCCACCCCCTCTGCCTGGAAAGCCTGCTCTCTCTGGGAGGTCTCTGCCCTGCCCCACCTTATAAGTCAGCTGCTTCTCCCGAGGTCCCTGCATCACCCGAAGGTCCTCAGAGCCTGGTCCGCACTTCCCTAGCCAGCCTGGCATGTGACACTGCAAGCTCGGGTGACTGGAAACTTGAGTGGCATGAATTAAATGACCCAAATCAGAATCTTTCCCTTGTCTTCTATATCTCTGGTTTGCACACACACGGGACCAGGGAGAGCTATGGACCGGCTCCACCCTCGTTCTACGATGTCTGACTCTCCAAGTGTAGCCGTGAAGGCAAGGAAAGCTACTCTCACGCCTTCTGCAGAGCAAGGCGTCCAGGAGGTCCCTGATAAAGCTGCTTTGCTTCGTTTGCACAAACAAGCAAGAATTAGGGGAGTTAAGCCAGTCATAGTGTTTGATGCCATTAATTCCAACACTTGGGAGGTGAAGGCAGACAGATCTCTCTGAGTTTGAGGCCTGGTTTACATAGTGAGTTCCAGGATAGCCAGAGATATATAGTGAGACTCTGTCTTACAAAACAAAAAGGAATTAGGGGAACCAAGCACAGTTCTAGAGTGTGGGGACATCTCCCATTACTGCTGTTTCTACAGTGCCCTGACAAGAGCTTGGCACATAGCAGGTGCACAATAGCATCTGCTGTTTTAGGGTAAGCATTCAACAAACCAGCAAACTACAGAAACCATCATGGTACCATCATGGAAGTGAGATGTCTCACTGTGTGGCCCAGCTAGGAACTGATGGAGCTCGAACTGGACTCCAGGTAACATTCTGTACGGCACTAGGACAGATTTTAGGTTGGAATTGTGCATAAGGTCTGGGCTTGGGCATCAGACAGGTATCATGCCTTAGTCCAGCACAGGGTGGCTGGGGCCTTTGTTTCTTGAGCCCCTGTCTGTCATCCACAGAAATAAAGAAATAACGGCTGGGATGAAGCTGTGGTCATTTCTCTCATGGTACAGACTGGGCTCATAGATGTCTACTGTCCTATCCCCCCGGTCATGAGGATAGACTGGGAAGGATGGGAAGGGGAGACAGCCTCTGTGGAGCAGAGGCTAGCCAGTGATGGCACTTGGTGAAGGTGGAGGGCAGGCAGGACCAGAGTGTCACGGAGGGCTTAGGAGTACTTTCTCTAGCCCTAATGCTCCCTGACGAGGGAGGGCTGCCTGCAGGGCTGGGTGGGGTTCTGGGGGTCCGGTCCTGAGGGGACCGCTGTGCCTCTTCACTGTCTTTCCCTCCACAGACTGTGGCCCCTTCTGCTGCTCACGCCGTGGGGCCTGCCTCTCGGCCTCCCTGCTGCTACTAATGGCCATGCTTGCTGCCTTGCTTGTCGTGGCCACCATCCTCGGACGTCCACCCCACGGACCAGGTCAGGGTGGCAAGAGGGAGACATGGAGGCTGGGGAAGCTGGGAGCCCTAGTCCAGCCTGGCTTCTCCCTGAAGGTGCGAACAGATCCTGTGCATGTGTGGACACCAGGCTGAGAGGCCTTTTACACATCCTTGACGTGCGTCATTTCAAGATTTTCCATTTCTGCCAGGAAGTGGTGGCGCACACCTTTAATCCCAGCACTCGGGAGGCAGAGACAGGCGGATCTCTGTAAGTTCGAGGCCAGCCTGGTCTACAAACTTAGTTCCAGGGCAGGCTCCAAAAGCTACAGAGAAACCCTGTCTCGCAACCCCCCCCCAAAAAAATCCATTTATTTATTGTTTTTCAAGACAAGGTCTCTCTGTATAATGGCCCTGGCTGTCCTGGAACTCACTCTGTAGACCAGGCTTGCCTCAAACTTACAGGCCTCTAACTCACAGAGATCTGTCTGCCTCTGCCTCCCAAGTTCTGGGATTAAAGGTGCACCCCACCACTGCTGGCTTTTACTATTAATTTCCAAAATTTATTTTTATGTATATGGGTGTTCTGCCTGCATGTATGTCTGTACACCACATGTGTGCCTGGTGCCCAGGAAGGACAGAAGATGATGTCAGGCCTCCTGGAACTGTAGTTAACAGATGGTTGTGAGCCTCCAGGTGGGTGCTGGGAATTGAACCTAGGTCCTCTGGAAGAGCAACAAGTGCTTTTAAGCACCGAGCCATCTCTTCAACCACCCACATGCACTACTGAGTGATCCTGACTCTCTCTGACCCCTGAGGTGGGCCAGGAGTTTCGTCAGCCCCCACAGCCCGTGCACTTCCTATTCCCCTCGACTGACCACCCTGGGTGGTGCTCTCAGCCACAGACCAGGTTGTGTTCAGAACTTTCCTGCAGTCTGGCTGCAGTAGTGAACCACCCAATGCAACCCCCACCCTCAGCGAGCAGTTTAGGGAGCCATATGGGCTTGATCCAATAAACGCTCAAACGCAGGCCTACTGAGGGATCAGGAGTCTGGAACCAAGGTTCTCATCCAATCAGCGTGGTGAGACTTAGGGTGGGAAGCACCGTGAGGAGTGAAGAGACCTGAGGTGGGAAGGGAAATGGAGCTTGTTTAGAAGAGGGTGTCAGGAACAGCATCCCAGGCCTAGGGAACAGCATGTATGGAGGCCCTGGGGTGGGAAGCTAAGGAGAAGGAAAGACAAGAGGACAGTGGACATGAGTGGATGGGGTCAGGTACCCAGGACCTTAAAATCTGCACTTGGGAGGGTGGCCACGTTCCAGGAACCAAGGGGTAGGACTGTCCCATCCTTCTTCCTTGCTTTCTGAGATATGGCTCCATAGCCAGGCAGGGTCACTGTAAGGATGACAAGGAAGGGTAAAATCACAGCATTCCACCTGGCAATGCAGAAGGGGGGGAGCTGCAGTCATGGGCCTGTGTGAGCAAGCGTGTGTGCATGTGTGCAAGCTTATGTGCATCGGTGCCTGTGTACATGCAGATGCCTGACTGTGTATGTGTGTGTGAGTGCCCATGGGCAGGCAGATGTGTGTGCAGGTGCCTGCCTGCTTGTGCACACGTGTGTGTGAGTGTCCGTGGGAAGACAGATGTTTGTCTGCTTGTGTTCATGTATGTGTGTGTAAATGCCCATATGTTGTTGGGTGGTTTGTTTGTTTGTTTGTTTTGACTCTTTACTCTTTGGGTACCCACCATCCAGCTCCCAATTAAATACACAGAGACTTATTCTTTTTCTTTTTTAGGTGCTTTTTTTCTTTCTTTTTATTTATCTATTTATTTTAAAGAAGAGAACACACTCTCTTTTTTTCATTATACATACCCAATCCCAGTTACCACTCCCATTCCCTCCCCTTATCACCCCACCCCACCCCCCATCCACTCCTCAGAGATGGTAAGACACATTGCTTTGGGGAAGGTTCAAGGCCCTCCCTACTATATCTAGGCTGAACCATCCAAAGAGAATAGGTTCCCAAAAAGCCAGTACAAGCAGTAGGGATAAATCCTGGTGCCAATTCCAGTGATCCCTCAGTCTGCCCCAGCCATGCAACTGTCACCCACATTCAGAGGGACTAGTTTGGTCCTATGCAAGGGATTGTGACATTTTTTTAAAGATTTATTTATTTATTGTATACACACTGTTCAGCCTCCTTGCATGCCTGCAGACCAGAAGAGGGAACCGGATCTCATTACAGATGGTTGTGAGCCACCATGTGGTTACTGGGAATTGAACTCAGGATCTCCGGAAAATCAGCCAGTGCTCTTAACCTCTGAGCCATCTCTCCAGCCCCGGGATTGTGACATTTTGTCCCCAATCACCACAGACATACAATTTGCAACAAGCTAAACTGGTTCCAGGAGATCCACCATTAAGGCCACGTGAATGAAGGCACACTGCCCTCAATGCTTCTTGCGTGACCACACCAGTGAGTGAACTGCTCTGCACACTGTGCGATCCACGGTGTCTAGAATTCTCGTGATGTCTCTGACATTCCACATACTCCTGGGGCTAGGCTCTGACACTGATTTTGTAGGCAAAGGACCCAGGGGGGCCAAGTCACCTGTTCCTGCCATGATGTGGCAGTGGCAGAGTAGCAGCCTCAACCCTAGAGATGCCATGGAGTTGAGGGCCTCCCCGCTCCCTGACCAGGCCCTCCCGGAACTCAAAAGGGCTCACTGGGGGACCCTGTGCAGGGTCCACCTTGCCCCACTCAAGGCTGCCTTTATGAGCATCACCTTTACTTCAGGGCCTCTCTTGCCCCTACAGAGACCCAGTCCTGTGTGACACTGACCAACAGGACGGGCTTCTTATGCCATGACCGAAGGCACTGCATCCCGGCCCACGGGGTGTGTGACGGCGTTCGCACCTGTCCCCACGGTGAGGATGAGGATGAAAGCTTGTGCCGTGAGTACCCTTCGGTTCCGTTCCCTGTTCATCCCCCACAGCCGCTTTTCTCTGCTCACAGCCCCGTCAAGCGTTCTCAGGCCCCACCTCTGCATCCCAGTCCCCAGGCCTCGACAAGACCTCCTGCTGTACACTGAGGGATCCTTCACCGTCCTCTCCCTCCTCAGCATCTGCGGCCATCCTTCAAGGCAGAGTTCACAAGCTGCCTCTTCCCGGGAGCCTTCTCTGAGTCCTGCTGGTGGAGTCAGCAGCTCTTCTTTTGGCTCCTACCGACCCTCGCCTCCCTGTCTTGACCCTAGTCAAACCAGCATCCCGTCGACCACCTCCATCAGGCTATGACTGCCTCTGTGGCTGTCTGTTCCAGTACATGGAACGAGAGTATTCAGAATGACTTGCCGAATGAGTGGGCAAGTGAATGAATGAATCAGAAGGCCCCATGCCTTAATGCGCCTGCTTTTAGGAGCGAGGAGCCTGGCTGCGTGTAATAAACATGAAAACATGAATGAGCGAGGAGACCCACAGCAGGGAGAAAGCTGTGAGCTGGAGGCAGGCGTTGGGACTCTAAGGAATTGTTTAGCTCAAATCCAAGAGTGCTGGTACACACTGTAAGCTCACCACTTGGGAGGATGCAGGAGGATCAGGAGTTCAGGTCCTCCTTGGTTACACTACAACCTGGGCTATGTGAGACTTTTCTCAGCAACAAAAAGGTCACCTGGTCCACACTGCAGCTCCCATCCCGAGTGCCGCTCCAGCAAGCCCAACAGGGTCTACCCGGCCCCTGCTTAAATGCTCCTAGGCCGGGGCATTCGCTACGTGAGGCTGTCCCAGGTCTGTGAGAATTTCGGTCTCTCTGTGCACTATCACCTCACGTAGAAGCCACTTGGGAACTCTGGGGCCCAGTGTAAGGAATCTGGGTTCTGCGTGCTCCATCCTGATGAGACAAGGCTTCCTGGCGGGAAGGAACTTGACCCTGGGTTGAAGGTGGAGGACTAACAAGGATGGCAAGGGGGACTTCTGCAGTGGTGGCACATGCGATGCTGAGAGTGGGGACATACGGAAGCCTGAGGGTGAGGATTTAAGGGCTAGGCAGGGAATGAAGATGCTCTCCGGGCCTCTTGCCACCCGGCAGAAGGTACACACAGCAGGAACATTCTACTCCTTGGGCCCGACCTCCTTCCTGGAAGACCTCCTGCGCCCTTTCCAGAATGGATGGGGAGACCCTGGCTGCACTGCCTGCCTGGGTGGATAGAGCGATCCTGCTGCAGATGGCCAATGGCTGAGGTACTGTGGTCAGAGGTGAACTGTGTCTTGCCCCTCTCGCCCCTCTCCAGGAGATGTGCCCCAGAGCCTCCCCAGCTTCCTCCTGGCCCACTGTGGAGACTCAGCCTCCTGGATCTACTCGGACCAGAGATGTGATGGCATTAACAACTGTGGGGACTGCTCAGACGAACTGAGCCCAGGTGGGGGTCTGGGCACGGGTGGCCGGGGCAGAGGGACTTGCCTCCAGGATGCTGGCTGGACACTAGGGCACAGAGGGGGACTGAGCAGACACTGCCCTTGTTGGATTCCAGCCTTCTGTCCTGGGCCCCTCCCAGCAACCCTGTGAGAAGGGCAGGGCAGGA